CATATGGGGCGGGGGGGGCTGCCCTGAGCTGCTGTGGGGTGGTGTCTTCCCTCCCTATAGGGGCTCTATAGGGGCTGGATGGCTTCTGGGCGTCCCGAGAGAGGCGCGGTGGTCCCTATAGAATCGTTATGGTCTTTGGGGGTCCTATACGCTGGCGGAGAACGCTGTAGGAACTGTGTGGCGGATCTATAAGGTCCGTATAGATTATTAGAGCGCTATAGGGGTCCCGGTATGGCGCTATAGGGCCTATAGGAGCGCTATAGGGGCTCCATCAGTCTTTAGGGCACTATTAAAGCGCTATAGGGGACCTATAAGCTCCATACAGATTATTAGGGGGCTATAGGGGTCCCTGTATGGTGCTATAGGGGCTGTGGGGCCTATAGGAGCGCTATAGGGGCTCCATGAGTCTTTAGGGCACTATTAAAGCGCTATAAGGGACCTATAAGCTTCATATAGATTATTAGGGCGCTATAGGGGACCCTGTATGGTGCTATAGGGGCTGTGGGGTCTATAGGAGCGCTATAGGGGCTCCATCAATTTTTAGGGCGCTAATAAAGCCCCATAGGGGGATCTATAAGGTCCATATAGATTATTAGGGGGCTATAGGGGTCCCAGTATGGCACTATAGGGGCTACAAGGCTGACTTATGACTTGGGGGGTGTCCATCACGTTTTGGGCCACCGTATGGGGACCTTATATAGTTCTTATAGCATTTGGAAGAGCAGTGTTGTGCGTTGGGACCATATAGGACCTATCATAGTCCCTTATAGGATCTATAGGTGAGGCGTCGCTCATGAGGCCACCACAGCACCCCAACAGCGCCCCGGTAGGACCTCCAGGAGCTCCACAACCACCTCCAGATGGCTTCTAAAGTCCCTATAGGGGCTGCTGTCCCCATCGGGGTGACCTGGAGGGGTCTAAGAAATGATGTGGTTCCTATAGGAACCCTATAGAGGCATTATAGGAGCTGCAGAAGGTCCATGGGGCCACCAGGAGAACCCTTCAAGGCTGATTTATGCTCTAAATGATCTCCATCGTGTTTTGGGCCACCGTATGGGGACCTTATATACCTCTTATAGCGTTTCGAAGACCAGTGTTGTATGTTGGGACCATATAGGACCTATCATAGTCCATTATAGGATCTATAGGTGAGGCGTCGCTCATGAGGCCACCACAGCACCCCAACAGCGCCCCGGTAGGACCTCCAGGAGCTCCACAACCACCTCCAGATGGCTTCTAAAGCCCTTATAGGAGCTATAGGGGCTGCTGTCCCCATCGGGGTGACCTGGAGGGGTCTAAGAAATGATGTGGTTCCTATAGGAACCCTATAGAGGCATTATAGGAGCTGCAGAAGGTCCATGGGGCCACCAGGAGAACCCTTCAAGGCTGATTTATGCTCTAAATGATCTCCATCGTGTTTTGGGCCACCGTATGGGGACCTTATATACCTCTTATAGTGTTTCGAAGAACAGTGTTGTATGTTGGGACCGTGTAGGACCTATCATAGTCCCTTATAGGATCTATAGGTGAGGCGTCGCTCATGAGGCCACCACAGAACCCCAACAACGCCCCGGTAGGACCTCCAGGAGCTCCACAACCACCTCCAGATGCCTTTTAAGAGCCTTTATGGGATGTTTAGGGGGTGGGGGAGCGCTGGGGGCGCTCTAGGCCTCCCATAGGCACCTCTATACGTCCCTCCCCTCGTAGCGCGGACGAGGTGCTGCTGCGTCCCAGCGGAGCCCAGTTGACGGTGGAGTACCTGGAGGAGAAGACCTTCAGCGTCCCCATCTTGGTGGCCCGAAAAGAAGGGTTGGGGATGACCTTACCTCCCCCGACCTTCACCCCCCGGGACGTGGAGCATTACGTGGGTGAGTATAGGGGACCGGGGGGGGACGGACGGATGGACGGACGGGATCTATAGGGGAGGGGGTGGTGTTCCCGTGACCTTTCTATAGGGGATTTTGGGGTGGGGCACCTATAGGGGCGGAGAAGGTCATCGACGTCATCGACGTGGGGCGCCAAGCCGACTGCCGCATGCGGTTGGGGGATTTCGTGGCCTACCTGGGGGGAAACCGTCGCGACCGCGTCCTCAACGTCATCAGCCTGGAGTTCTCCGACACCCGGTGGGTCACCCGCCCCGCCTCCCAGTAGCTTCCCAGTATAGCGCAGTAAGTTCCCAGTATCACCCAGAGCATCACTGGACTCCTCCCGTGGGACATTTCTGGTGGTCTCCACCTCGGCCACCCGCTTTGGGCCCTCCAATGGCCAATGTCACCCCCCCCGAGAGGTCCTGTGTCACCAGTGAGCCTCCCAGTAGCTTCCCAGTATAGCGCAGTAAGTTCCCAGTATCACCCAGAGCATCACTGGACTCCTCCCGTGGGACATTTCTGGTGGTCTCCACCTCGGCCACCCGCTTTGGGCCCTCCAATGGCCAATGTCACCCCCCCCCGAGAGGTCCTGTGTCACCAGTGAGCCTCCCAGTAGCTTCCCAGTATAGCCCAGTAAGTTCCCAGTATCACCCAG